AAAAACATGTAAATATTTAAATTTTAAGCCCAATTAATGCCTTGTTCTGTGTCACAGCTGATCGTATCTATAAGGTAGCTAATAGCTAATCTACAATCCCAAACAACGGAAACGACTTTCCCCACGCGAAACAAAGTTCAATCGAATGTGCTCGATAAAGAGCGAAAGATAAAGAGACTACTGACAGGCCCGGCGTCAAAATTGTGTAATAAACTACGGATGAATGGCCAGATTGCCAACGGATCTCATTTACCAGACTGTGAATCCCCGCTGATGTTGCACAAACCGAGCAAAATCAAACACTGAGCCAACAACTAAGAGAGGGCAAAACATTGATCGCTGGCGAGCAACAATTAATAATAGAAAATAAACGACGGCGCTGCACATGTGTGAGTGGATCAAAATTGACGATTAATCAGTTTAAAGGTCTTGCACTGCATCTATTGTTTGTGATGTTGTTTAAGAATTAATTAGAGAAATTTGTTGGCAGCAGGCGAGATTCAGTTAGATGCTATTAGTCATAGAAAAGAGTAGGCCACTATATGGTATATGAATTCCCTTTGTGTGGCCTACAATCTCAAAGTGCACAGAAAAAATCGCAGGTCGATAATAGTATTGGGACAAACAGGTATATATATATATGTATAGATAATGTTAGTATCTCCATAATGTAAGATAGATTTTCAATGCTTGATAACAAAATCATCAAAAGGATCTTCATATCATCGGAATAAGCAGGTATATAAACGATTTTCTTATGCTTTTTAAGCTTAAAATCATTATTTTGAGATATCCTCATATCATATACAAATTTCTTTCTGTGTGGCTAGCTTATCAGGGGATCCTTCTTATAAAACGATAAGCCATCAGATTGTCTTGTCGACGTGTAACTATTGTGGAACCCGAAGCACATGGTTTTCAGCGAAACTGAAAGACTTTCTTGAAGAGTATGTATGGTATATAGTAAATGAAGCGCAACAATATCCAACAGCGACTTTTGAACGCTTACCTTGCCCAGAATTCAAGGTGAATGACGACGAACAATTGAAGTCACCAAATATGTATACATCATTTCCCCGCAAACGGGCAATAATTATTAATAAATCAAGCCAACGTAATCGAAAATCAGGGGCTTCTGCTAATGATCATCCGGACTTGGCCAACTTTTCGAATGTTTTGCATTTTGCCTGGGCAAATTGTTATTGTTTTTGTTACATACACATGGAGATTTTTAGGAATGGAATCGGAATCCAAGGAAACTGGTTGCTCACACACGCACACCAACGCACTACTGCCTACTGGCACTCGCACGCACACTTTTAAAGCGCAGCTAACTGCGCAAATAATACGAATTATCCGGTGGCCCTTGTTACTCACTTTATTTAACCATTTAGCTTTCCTCTGACTTCGCTGCACTCGATTTTTGGACACTTTGGTAGCAGAAAAATACGTATTTTGTTGTGCTCTGCCAATGGTGTGACCGTTCGCGGTTGGGCGGGAAATCACCGGGAAGCAATGGTATTCGAGGGGAACTATCGATGCTTTGGCATCGAAAGGCAGTCAAGATATAATCGATAACTAAGTAGAAAAATTATCAAATTTGAAAACGCTTTTGGAAATGGAAATTTAAGTGTTCGCTTAAAAGTGTTTACTTTAGTTTGAACTTGGTACATTTATTAGTAATCTTATAATGAGCTTTCGAAGGTATTGCATAAATTTATTGTTTATTTGCCATAATAAACAGCATTAGTTCTGAAATGACAATCGTGAAATCCACAAAGTAAATTGCTATGCATTAACCTTTGTGGGCTTCATATATGTGTTGAAAATGTCATATTTGCATTTCAAATTTACTCCAAATGAATAAGGCAATATTGTACAGTTTTAAATATAAGTATGTTATTTAATTATTTTAATAGCCCCCTTAAAAAATTACTTAACTACTGATTTTTCTCTTAAACGAGAATAATACAATCCACTCCGGACTTTCGACCTTGACCCTTCGTTAATCCTCATCGTGGTCGCCTGTCCACACCCCCATCGACACACATATTACGATCGCTCAGGCAGGAGGCATAGGCGAGAGCGTGGGGAATGAAGTGCTGCTCGTAGACCCCCGAAAAAAGCTGTGCATATGGTCCACTGGCGAATACGGCCACATCATCGCCGCCATGAGTCTCCGATTCGAGGGGCACTGTGCTGGGGAACATGAAGTCCTTGTTCTTCATGTTGATGGCCCTCAGATTCTTCCGCCGCACAGCACCGCCTTCCCTTAGATAATTGCTGTCGTAGCCCGGTCCATTGGCATAACTCAGCGTGGCATAGGGCAGATCATCCGCCGCCAGCTGTCCGTCGTTGATCCCGAATATATCGTTCTTCCGGCTGGAGTAGCCCGCCAGCGACATGGTATGTGAGTGGTCCGAACTGACCACTATTAGGGTATCATCCGTGCTGGTGTGACTCCTGGCAAACCTCACCGCCTTGTCGAACTCCGCCGTTTCATCGATGGCCCTCAGGGCCAAAGTGTCGTGGTGGCCATGGTCAATGCGTCCGCCCTCCACGAACAGGAAGTAGCCGCGCCCCGCACTCTGTCGCTCCAGGATCTGCATGGCCACCTGTACCATCTCCTCCAGAGTGGGCTGCTCCGCGGCATTGGCGTCCAGATGGTAGGCCATGTGGTAGGGGGCAAACAGGCCCAGCACTCTCGAAGTTTGGTTGGAGAGTTGCAGCAGCTCCGCTCGACTCTCCACGTAGTGTGCACTGTTCGTGTGCTGACCCTTCCACTCCTCGATGAGGTTGCGACCATCCAGCCGACGACCAGGCGACCCACTGGCATCTGTGGTGCCACGAGGCAGGAAATTCTCCCGACCTCCGCCCATTACCACATTGAGCTTTTGTCCCACCGGACTGTTGATCAGCTGGCTGGCGGCATCTGGACAGAGATTGGGGTCACCATTGTCGCTGGCGACTTCCGCATCGTTTTCCCAATTCCTGTTGGCCAGGTGGGCATAAACTCCGGCCGGAGAGGCGTGGGTCACAGAGGTGGTGGTCACCAGACCCGTGGCCATGCCCTGCCTCTGGGCCCAGGCGGCAATGGAGGCCACCTGATGCTCCGGCTGCGACTGTGCTGCGCAATCCTTGAACTGCACCGCTGCACTTACTCCTATCGTCCCATAGTTGGCCTTTACACCTCCCAAGTAGGCGGTGGCCGTGCAGGCCGAGTCGGCCACCTGCATGTTGGCACAGTAGGTCTTGCTGAGGCCCACAAACGGGAACTGCTCGAAGGCGAACTGCTTCTCCTCGCCCCCGAGGTAAACCCTACCTGCCGTGATCGTTGGTATGGACATGCCGTCGCCAATGAAGAGCATCACATTCCTGGCCAGCTGGGTGTTCAGTCTCGACTTGCTGTCCAGCTGCTGTTCGAGTGTTTGGGCCGCCAATCCCTGCCAGTACTCGGCATAGCGCTCCTCCGCCCTCAGGGCATCGAAAACGATCTGGGGCATGGCCCTTTTAGAGCGACCTCCGGCTTGGGACTCCAGTCTGGATAAAGAGAACACCGGATGCATACGCCGCTCGGCTTCGTGGAAGGTTTCTGTGGGTACAGTTGGATTAGTTTTTTTGTACAGATTTCTAAGGTATGTCGGCACTTACCTCCTCCACTGACTAGAGCACTTAGGCTGAGTAGAAAAATAAAGAACTGAAGCCTCATCATTGTTCGTCTTTTTTGGGTTTTCGAGGTGGCTGTACGCTGCCCGCACGTTTCCTCCACCAACTGATACAAGTAAGCACGAGACCTGCGATATTTATAGGCAGGTCCGAGATTTCATAATACTCTGCCGCCATCGACCTGACCCGTCGGCTGATAAAGGAAAACACCCGCTGCCTTGGTTGTACTATACTCCGGTTTTGGTTTGCACCCAGGGAACAGTGCACAGTGGAACCTACCTGAGAAGAACAAGGCATTTACTTTTATAACTGAAGAATTAGTCATAAATTTGTATCTCTTCTCAAACTGCATCTCCTTTCGGTTTAAAATATATATTTAAAAACACTTTTTAAATTAAAACCAATTTATTTCTAGTTAGATAAAGCTTTGAATAATTTCCAAAAAAAAATTAAAATAAAGATTATACCTACCAAACAGCAATTCCTAGTGTTTCTTTCACTGTTCAACTTAAAAATTAGTTTTAACCTTAGTATCATATTTTAAGAATATATGATACATAAACAAAATTGGAATATTTAAGGAGCCATTTATTTTGCTTAATAAAATATGGTGTTAAATTTGGTTTTGTTTATTTTTGTTTTAAAGGATTAGGTGACAGCATATGAAATTTAGAATTACAATCTATTCGGACATTTCTAGCTTTCAGTTTCGAGATCAGCATGCTCAGCACTTGTGCAATCGGAATGGGATTGGCTTTGCACGAATAGGTACTTTGACCTGTCGGGTCTTCACTGTAGATGTTATTCGAAAACTGTTGTTTTTAAGCGGCAAAGGCAATCGTTATCATCAGTGGCCGGCGTCGTCTGCCTGCCAGCCCGCCCGCTCGTCTCGATCGATGTGAGATCGCTCCGCTCGTCTGTTTCTGTTGCTGTTGCTGTTTCTGCCTGCCGCATCCGCCTGCCTTTTTTTCAGAACACGCGAGTTCTTCACGTGATCGCTGCTGATTGTGGCCTGTGCCCGGTGCCCTGTTTCTATTTCGGGCTTCCAGTTAAGTCATAAACACGGGCTAATTACCCCTAACCGGAAAAGTGATTTGAATGTGCGCGCCAGCAGCCGCTGTGACTGCCAAACCATCGGATTCCATCTGCAATTCCCAGCGAGGAGATGGCGCAAGCGCCAGCATCGCATCAAAACAATGAGCAACTGAGCAAATGAGCAGGAACCAACGGCCGATTGTATCTGCATCTCGCTTCCGCCCAACGCCTCAGATGTATCTCGAATTGGGGGAAAACCTGAGAGCGAGCGAGAGTATCTCGCAGTACGAGTATCTCAATCTCGGAAAGCATCCATCCATCGGCATCCATCGGTTTTTGGGATGCTGAGCGAGAGCTTCTGCTTTGGCAACGCGCACTTGGCCAAAATAGTTGTTGGTTCGCATGCAAAACGTTAAAATCGCATTAGCTGAAAGACATTTTTATACCAACGGCGCGTTTTTAATTTTTTCTACACCACAACAACACAAAAAACAAAAATTAAAATAAAATAAAATAGACAAAGTAGATGGCAGAAAGTAAAACAAAAAAGCAACGAGCAAAGCTAAACTAAACTTTTAACGTTTAAAAATTCGATGCGTATACATAAGAATAAATTAATAAGCGCGTGCATATATGAATACATATAATAAATGATATTTCAATAATTTTCAAACAACACAAAAGGTTCGAGCAGCGTTCTGTGAAGAAAAAGAAAAGAAAAATCACGAAATAAAAGTGATGGTGAAAAACCAATTAACCAAGAAACAAGAAGTGAATGGCATTGATTTTTTTCCTTAAATAGTTGACAGAAATGCAAAGTTATAAAGTTTTCGATTTTTGTGCAGTCGTGTGTATAACTGTATGAAATGCAAGGACTTTTGGGCTACTCTTAATTCCATTTTTTCAGTGGGATCATTGGGATTTCGAAAAAAACATAGAGGATGTAGTGCCACACAGGAAAATTCATACATAATACAATACAGTAAATTGCTAACTGTGTTTCGGGCCCTCTCGTGTGTTTGTGTGTGTGTGTGTGTTCGTCGGGATTATGTGACTCTGCGTATACATATCTACAATGTCGGATATGGCAGGCATATACTATATATATATCTTTATTGAAGCCCAGCTGGCTGCCAACATAGTTTCCCGTTTCACAAATGTCCTGGCAGGATTCTATGTTAATTTCTCTTAGCCACCTTTAAAGAATCCCAAAATTTAAAGGGGAAATATGCATATATCTTTTTCTGTGTTCCACACAAACAATCTCACAACTTTCAATTGCCTTTCATTGACAGTTAAAACGAAAGTTATCAAAAACATGAACAACTAGCGAAGTTGTACCATGATAATAATAGCAGCAGCAGCAGCAACAACAACAACGAAGGAGCGTTGACAACGACAATGACAACGACAACAATTCAGAAGTCAAACACGAGACAACAACAACACAAACACAAATTAAATAACAACGAAAAATAAAAGTAGCCAAAAACTTTGCCAAAAGACACACGCACACATATATAAGTAGAAAGGGGCGGTGGACAGGGGGTGTGGCCGTCCTTTATGGGGAAACAAACTTTTAACATAGTAGCCCACATACACGTACAAATATATGCCCGTAAATTCACCCCCTTCCCACCGAACTACACACACACAAATACACAGAGAAAAAAAGAAATGAGAAAGCAGTAAAGCAGTAAAGAGAAAAGGAATCGAAGCGAAAGATGCGAGCGGGATTGGGGTAAGGGGAATAATGGCATGCCAAAGGACGATTGCACACTGTGTCAATTTTGTAACAACATTCGGAATACTATAATGTATAATGGAATGTACCCGTATCTGACAATCCCACTACAATGTACCAATAATGAGTTGTCTGCAGTGGTGTGCGTGTGTTTACAGTGGCTTGTGTTCAGAAGAGTTTATAACTTTAAGCTGGAGTTAAATTTACTAATTAATTAAATTAATTTTAATTTGCAAAACTGGTAAATCAACGTTTAAATTATAGTTTACAAGTCATATATATTTATAGGATATTTTTTAAACATTATTACTGCTGCTTTAATAATGCATGACTTATTATAGTTTGTTTCGAGGTGTTTAACCTGTTTTACAATAATATTTGACTTCAATTAGCAATGCAAATAGTCGCTTTTGTTAAGTTTTTCATCATATTTAATTATTATTATTCTTGAAAAAAGAGATAAATAAACGATTTCTAAGGTCTTTACGTAGTCTTTAAGAAATTTGTGTTATAGAGTAGAACAATTATTAAGTCGATTGACCTTTAAATATGAAAATATTACTATTGAATTTAAACTATGCTATTATTTTTTTGAGCATAATGTTCGAGTTTATACAATTTGGGTTATAGGATTTAATAATGTTTCATTGAACATTTTTATAGCTTTTAAACTTTTGAAATGTAAACAAGTTTCTTTTATCTTTATCAGCACTGATAAAAAAGAAGTTATTTTATCTTTCATAATAAAAAGTTTGACTTCCTGAGTCAACACTCAACACCACAAATCAACCACGTAAGACCGTGTTTTCAATATTTTACAACTGCTTTAGATTAGGAAGTATATTTTGTGTGCATTTCAAGGAAACCATGCAATTGTTCACTTGTTTCAATTTCTGAACTTGAGTCCATAGTTTGCCAAAAAGTAAAAGTAAAAGAATATTTCTTGTTTTGTAGCTCAAAAATTATTTTCAATTCCTGGAAAACCATTAGAGTATTCCCATAAAAATGAGGTTTTCCCTGGGTAACTCGAATAAATTCTTGGGAATTCCCCAGCCTGAATCCATGATACGCCAGCTCCAGCCCATAGTACATCATCAGGGAGCATTGTTGTTGGCAGGGAAAAGGATGCGCGATGCGGGACGCACGAGCGGATAACACGAACGCACGACCAGAGCAGTGCGGCACGACCGCTTTCTCCCAGCATTCTCTCCGGCGCCACCCCGCCCACATTTCACCCCCCCCACCACCCACTTTACCCCCAAAAAGCACGCGTTTCAGCAGCGAGTTAACTTTGACGTTATGCTGTAAGCGTTGGGTGCTTCGTTTAAATGAGTGCTCGTTGAATGTGTGAGTAATTGGGGGGATGCTGGCTAGAGGGGGTTGGAAATAGGGAAGAAGGGGGTTGGTGGGTGGTGGGTGGCAGCTTGGGGATTGCTCGGAATGGAAGAGCAAACGACAACAAGCAAAACATTGATGTTACTTGGCGGAGGTTGCCAGCAGACGCTGGCTGGCTTTTATAGTTTCGCCAAAAGGAGTGAAATGGCGCCAGCTGAAGATTTATGCATGTATTTGTTACTGTAGATGCTTTGTGTGTGTGTGGTTGTGTGTGTACGGGAAATTATGAAAGCATTTTTGTGTGCGAGTTTGAGTAAACAAGACCACCGTTTTTGGTTGGGGGTTGTTCTGCGGCCCACACGGCGTATGTGTGTTGTGGCTGTATCTGTCGTGTGTGTTTGCGTGTTTGCTTACCTTCGCTGCATTTGCTGATTTTAAGGCCGTCGCATATGGTTAATGGCCTTCTGTCCGCCCGCCTCCCGGTCCTCCAGTTCCAATGTTGATGATTCAGTGGATACAGATGGAAATGGAGGCCGTCCAGCAATGGCACTCACTCACTGCAGCACTGACTGACCTTCACCCATTTAACGGCACTTAACCGCTGACATACCGACCAGAAGTTGAATGTCAACGCAATTCTTTTGCCATTTTTGGGGAAAAAGGCGCAACTTTCAGTTCTATAAGGTCATAACAACAAAAATCATATCACTTTATAGCACTAATGTGGAATCGAAGTTTGCATTTCGTTATATAAAGTTTGATTTGGATCTGGTAAAGCTATTCTTAAAAATCCTGCCCAAATAAGTAGTACGCAATAAAAAATCATTGTATACTACGAAATTAATATAAGGTTATGTTTCGAAAATTGATAAATTATGATTGTAGTTTGATACAATCGCTGTAATAGATTTTCAAATCTTGGTTTTTGTTTATAACGGATAACTCGCTATTCGAGGCGCACTTTAAGATACACCGTTTTTACAACACCAAGAGATAATTCAAGTATATATGATCACCCTGAGAAAAATGTTTTAAAACGTATCTTTAACTTGAGTTCATTCCCAAAAAAAAAACAATTTCCAAAAACAAATGTTTAACTCCTTTGTTTAGTTCTTTAAAGAAAGTGTTCAGAAAGTATACATTTTTGAATAGAGAAATTTTAAACATATAAATTATGCAAGTTATACTATAAGCATTACATTTATTGTTTTCAACTACCAAGGGATAACCCATGTTTATACAAACCCAGTGAGAAAAAATGCCTAAAAAAATTGCGAGCAGCTAAAAATACGTAACTTCAAATTGAGTTCCCCAAATATAACGATTGTCAAATATAAATTTTCAACTCCTTAATTTATAAATTAATAGGAAATGTTCACAAAATTCATATGTTGAGCTAGAGAAGTTTAAGACGTATGCAAGACCGAGTTAGTGACCAAAACAGGCAGTACTTTTTGACCTTGGTGTACCGCTCTCCGTAAAGCAGCACAATTCGCAATGCACAATGCACAGGTGAGGGATGGATAGCTCAGTTTAATTTTAGAATCAGAGATATCAATGCAAGGGAAATTGAGCGGCTTCCGGGGATAGGGATGACAGTAACCATGACAACGAGGAGTTGCAACAAACTGCCGCAAAGTACAGTTTCCAGTTTTCAGTCCGATTCCAGATTTACGGTCAAGTAGTCGCGACACGGCATTATTGATCGTCGCCCAAGGACATGGTGATATTTATTAATCAACATCCAATCCAAATTAAATTTCCATAAACGGGCGCCGGGTAAAAATATACGTACATATATGACATAAAATGTATGAACGGGAAAATAAATATTGGACTGCCAAATTATAATTTTAATATTATGGCCAATGGCAAATTTAATATCATCCGCGAGCGAGGCAAAATTGCTGTCGTTAAAATATTTTACAACATCCTACAAAGATTGAAAACGAATCAAGCGAACGTCCATGCGAGTGGGTGTGTGTTTATGGCTGTGGGCGGGGCTGTTGGGGGGGCGTGGCATTTTTTGGGGCAATCCCCTTCAGTATCATAGGTGTGTTGTTGTTGCCTTACAGTAAAACATGAAAATTCAAATATTGCCAGAGTCATGTGAAATTGCATGTTGTTTATTTACATTGTTGGCGCTGTAAAAGCGCAGTGAACGTATAAGATACGTATCGTACATATCGTGCATACCGCGTGTGTAATTAGAGGCCATCAATTTGCCAGATTGAAAGTGCCTGTCGCTTGGAAGATTTGTGAGTCTTGAGAAATATGAAGGATTTGTGTGTGTTTACATTCGGGGGCGTATGCACTGCCTTTTGCATCTTTTATTTATTTCTTTTCGCCGATAAACAAAACGCGGAATGAGGAAGTGGCAGTCACCAATTCACTGCTGCCAAAATTTATTCAAAAGATCCTTTAAGTCTCTGTAAGCCGAAGGCCAAAACTTTTCCACCTGCTTCAGTTTCATTGGCATTTAAAGCAATTAAAAAGTCACACACAAAATACCCGCCCATACACACAGAGAAGTTGAACTTAATTTAGCACAACAAAGTGAATAAACATTTTAGACACCTCCTTTTTCCACTTTTCCGTTGACAGACAGCTGTTACATGGAAATGAGACCTGAATTTCATTTAAGCCATTACTGAATCCGCTTTTTTTTTTTGTGTTGTTTCGTTTACTTTGCAAGTTATTGAACCCGTAAAAGTTTTTAATTAAAATTCAAATTAGACAAATTAAATTGCCTGCTAGGTGTTTGGGGCCCAATTGCCATTCGAAATGTAAGAGATGTATTTTTATGGCAAGTCTTGGGAACGTGCGTTAAATTTTAATTGATTTTTCCCAACGAATTGTGGGTGTTTGTGTGTGTGTATCTGTGTGTACCTGCGTACGCCCAAAGTAAACGAAGCGAGATGTGAAAACAGAGATGTGGAGTACAGAACAACAGACACAGATACACAGATACACACACACACATATACACATACACAAATGCGAATTGGCAGACATTCAGGCATGCGAATAAACGCACACACTCTCCCAAACAAACACACAACCACATACACATACAAAAAAGGACTCGGATTTCGTATTCGTATTTGTATTTGTATTCGTATTCGCATTCGTATTCGCATTCGGTTCTCTGAATGAGAAGCTGCGATGTGTGAATGTGTGCGGGGGGTGGTGGGTGGTTGGGTGGTTGGGTTCGTTCCGTTGAAAGGACAATTCAAGGAGGCAAACGAAAAACATTTTGCCCCTCCTGTTCATAATGTTGTTGTTGCTTGTTCTTTCGTAGGCTGTTTATTGCCAAGCCTTGGCGCTTTTGTTGTTGTTATCCTGCTGATGCTGTGTATCTATGTAGAATTTATCGATTTATTTTGACTTCTCTTTATGTGCTCAGCCTTCCCTAATACATACAAACAGGGGCGTAAAAGGGGGGCAAATCCATATTGCATTTTTTAGGATTTTAAGAAGTAAATATACTGCTTTTTATCAGTATATCTATTGTCAAATCATTTTTTGCTTGGCTTGATTTTAATAAGTAAATATAAAGCTTTATATCAATATATCTATTGTCTAATCATTTAAAGCCTGACTTCTAAAAACGATGAAGAAGAATATATTATAATTATCTTATGAAAGTATTCTCATGAAACTCTTTAAACTTAAAGTCAAATATAAATTAAATATATAGTTCACCCGACCAAACCAATATAAAATAGTTAAATGAAATACTTATACTTTTTGTTAAATCTAGCTCTCGAGAGAAAAATTCAGATTAAAAATCAAGTTATCATAATACTATAATAATCTTGTTAAGATACAAAAGAAAGAAAATCCTGGCAAACTTCTTAAAATATATGAGAACAGAGTATCATAACTCTTTTAATTCTTAAGAACCATTTTATTAAGTTCATAAATTACGTATTTTCTGATCTGCTATCCAATTTGTCAGTAAGAAACTAATACATTTTTGAAAGCCCCCCCTTGAGATCTGAAACCCCCTCACAGACCACCCCCTTCAGCCACTGCGTAGCATCGTATTATTTAATACGAACAGGACGATAAGGCTCCAGAACTCGGTTAGCAGGCAGCCCACTTTAGGGCGCTTCTGGGTTGAGCGGTTGGGTTTCCCTTTTGCCTCTTTTGCTTTTTCCGACTGTTGTTTCTCGCTTTACTTTTTGCGCTTAATGCGTCAATTCTGACAACAGTCGAGCGGTAATGGGTGGGGATCGTTTGGATGTTGGGATGGGACTGGGACTGGGATTGGGATGGAAGTCAAGTCGGCAAGTCGGCAACGACCCAAAGTCAAATTGAGTAAAACGCATTGAAAACTTAAGTAATTTCACAAGAACGGCCCACAGTTCTTAAAAGCTTTTTTTCCCAGCCTTTTTGTTCTAAACGAGAGGAGAAGCCCGAAGCAAGCGTATCTGCCTTCTTTTTTTTATTACTATTTTCTGTTTCGCTCTCCTTTCGCTCCTTGTTATTGCAGATGGCCAAAGTTGTTGGCCAAGTATAAAAATGTGTTTTATTTTGTAATAACGAAGAATGCACTGATGTCGAAACTCGAAAAAAAACAGAGCAGCACACAAAAATTCATAAACTGTTTAATGAAGCAGAGCAATTACATAAAGCCAAAATCGATGTGTACAAAAGTGTAGCAAAACAGTGCTGAAAAGCAATGATAAAGCCAAGAACTTCAGTAACTAGAAAGCCAAATAAAATTTTATTTGTGCTTACCAAAAACCATTTTGTTTCTCTCTTTTCCACAGTAAAATGTTAGGATGTAATCGAAAAAAGCGTGTCAAGCCGTCCTCTTTACAAAGAATCAACCCTCAGCTAAAGTAAACTACGACTTTTTAAAGTTATAAACCTTAAAAAGGACAAAAACGAAACGTTGGTAGAATAGCAGAACAAGGAGTGACTTGTGTGTGTTTTTTGTGTACATAAAGACGGAAAGTATGTGAAATCGAGGTGCTAAAATGGGCGCCCTCTTGCTTCTGGCCCACCTTTTGTGTCCGTGTGAAATGCGTGTGAAATAAAACAAAAAGAAAGGAAAAATTGCGAAAAAAAAACACGAAACAACTACTACAATCAGCAACGGTGGAATTGCGATTCAATGTCACAGTCAGCGAGCAGCATCTATGTACCCAGCTACGGATACAGATACAGATACTGGCGCCCATATACATATACCCACACCCACACATATGTATACCGCTCACTTATGTAGAGAAAAAGCCATAGCCGCAGATTAGTGAGCCAGTTTCAAGGGGCAAGAGACGAGAGACAACGGGAGAAAGCCAAGACGAATACGACAATCAACATTCATCATACGCACCGTGGGACGCGGCGCAAAACGCAAATGCAGACCCCGATCGATCGGTAAGCCATAAAAAGCTAATGAAAACCAATTTCCCCCGAGGAACTCTACTCTTTCGTACCCCCTGCTCTCTATAAACACACTTTGCTCAAGTTTGATTTGGACCTATTTTCGTTTGATTGGTGTTTCCGTTTGTTTTGAGTACTAACCACGACTAACCAATAAAGTAGGTTAAGCCAAAGAACACTGAGAAAATTACTAACCTATGGAATAAAATTCTATGAAAATCTTATCATTTGATCCTTTCTTTAAATATTAAAAATGTTGATTTTTAATTGTAAAGCTAAATTAAAGTATAAAGTAGTTGTTTCATATATAAAACATTCAAAAAGTCTTAGTAATTGTTAAAACTAATATTTTTACTCCATACTAATATTTAAAATACGTTTTTGGGAATAAATCTAAAACGGTTGGTAGCTCTGTGACTAAAATCAGTAGAGCTGTTTTTAAAATCCCTTAACTGCGCCCAATGTTGTGCTATATGTGATGATCGCTATTGTGATGATGATGACTCCCTCCGCTTCCTGTGATAAATGTTCCAATTTATTTATGGCTGGCATTAACAAGCATCTAAAATATGTGCTGACACACAAAAACACTCGCACACCCTACACGAACACCACCACACAAAAGCGGTATTGGCACTGAGTTTTGCGACAAATTCACGCGGCGTAAACGTGCTGCCAACAATGCAAAGCTCTGTGAGTTTTGCACCGACAACAACAATAGTAATACATAATAATAAGAGGAACAAAAACATAAGCATCACCATTCGACATCGACACCATCAGCAAAAACCACCACAGCAACCAATTCTCAGTGTTCAAAGTTCAATGACGTTGGCATCGTCATCCAAGAAATTTCTATTTCAGACTAATGGAAAATTTGTAATTTTTTATGTGGCTTCAATTTCTGGAGAATTTCATGGGAATTCCATTTTCATTGAGTTGTATTCCTCGAACAAACTTTAAATTTAAATTTGTTCGGAAAAGTTTGAGTTTATTTCCGGGAAATATGTTGGTCATGAATGATGCATTGCTGCTTTTGAATCGATGGTAATTGCACTTTTCACAGGTGTTGTTGATAACTAAAGCTGGATACATGAAACGAAATCGATGTTTATAAGGAATTTTTAGTCTAAATAAAAATAATAATAAATTTTGGAGGTTATAAAATTATCAATATAAATGTAATTTTACCACAAAAGATAAAGATTAGTTTTACCAAAGCTTTTATGTTTATATTATTCTAGCTATTTAATTAATTCAAAATGTAATTTATTATACTTGATTAGGCAAACTCAAATTTTCTGACATAATATAATTAACTTTGATGACTTCAAATAATATCATATGTTACTGGGATGCAAAAAAAAATAACATTTTGACAAGCTTTTTAATTGATTCCTTTTGTTGTATTACCCAACTAGCTAATCTTTAACATTTAAAATTAAAAGTTTATAAGAATTAATTACTTTAAGAACAAGTTTTAGCATGAAAACAGCATCCTTCGTCAACATTATTAAGTTCACATATAAAAGAAACAATCAATTTTGCTTATGAATTATGGACACATTATTTCCTTTCTCATTTATTTTATCCATTGAAGTGAAAAAGTAATTATATTTCACAAAATCACAGAAATTGTTTCCCTCCAATTTGGTAGTTTTCTGTATGGCTCTAGTAACCAGTGTTGTGAATTTGTCCATTTCCGGATAAATCTTTTTTTGTTCAAGAGGTGTTTTCCAAAACATTTACAAAACAAAACAAGAAAATCGGCTTGTATTGTTTTTAAAAATATAATAATAATTGATTCAAATTATTTTTTAAGTAGGAATATCACTGTAGAGTAGATGTTTTTTAATATGTTGAGTTTTTTGGTTTCGGTTTTTTTTTTAGTAGGTTATTATTATGTATTTTGTCTGCTGGCAGCACTACTTTTTTGAGTGACCAATGCCTGCCAGTCAAATTTATGACCAAAGCGCAATAATAGACAATTGACGTCACCGTAAAATAGGTATAGGAATTTCTTATTTATTTATTATATTTTTATTTGGCTTTACGTGAATGACTTTTTTTTATTATTTTGCCTTATTGCGTATGCGGTAATACGTTCCCCATTGCGTCAAGGGGAAATCGAAAAAGAACGATCTCAGCAGATGACTTTATGACTTATGGAGGACGCAGTGTTGATCTATTGCTGATAAAGTGAAAGTCAAGTTATGTTAGAAATGTAATTATTCATGTCTGGGGACAAACAAACAAACAAAGAATCTGGCTTGAATTTTTGAAGAACATGCTAAATGTAGTCCGTCGCCAGCGGAATGTCAATGGGCAGCCAGGCATCAAGGCAGTGCCTTTTTGGAATATATATGTACTATATGTAGTGTTTGGCTTGTTTTGCCTTTGCGTCTGGCGTCTCGACGGTTGACGGTCGTCGCGTCATTTATCTGTCAGCGTTGCCGTTGCTTGATGAACTATTAATTTCTGGTTGCCGAGGCAAGAATTTATTTTCGTCAACTGTGGCACGTGTGCCGCGAACATCAGCTCGGATGTTTGGATGTGAATGCGAATGCGGCTGCTGTGCGCTGTTTGCTGTTCATAAAAAATAATTTGAATAAATTCCCAGCGAAGAGTGACAAATCCCTACAGCTTGCAGCAGTAAAATATGTGGACATAAAACACGAAATTTGTGGAATATTTATCAGGTATTTGAATAAAGGCAGCAGGAGCGGGGCTTTATCCTGATGCAAGTGGTTGAAGGCTATGCTCTGTAATCAGATTTGCAGGATATGCAATTTATGCCTCACATTTCAATGCAGCCACAAATTCATTAATTATAATCTGATGCAAAATTCGATAGAGGCCTTGAATATTTCGTTGTGGCAATATACCTCACAGAGCTCTAACTATTTTAATTCTGCCTCATGAAACTGCACTCGATGGGGCTTTTCTGCATATTCTACATATTATTGTGAGTAATTTGCGGTTTTAAGGGCCACATAGACTGCAACATTGTTCGGAACATAATTGGAAGGCGTCTGGCGGAAAAGATATGGCAGCCACATCAAATGCGACAGGGGCAAAGGCAGGGGGTAGCTTTTGTGTCGCGTTTTGCACTGACAACGACAGGTGGTCGCCCATATACTGGGCCAGAAGTACCAGAAGTAGCCACGGCCTACACGGCGTATGCGTGTTCCTCCTCTAAGGATGAGAGATGAGATGCGCTGAGATGAGATGATCGCACAGGTTTCGCTTTATTCTGGCTCTCGTTCGTGTACGCGAGAGGTATGTCCATTAGCTGATTTAATGAAATCGTAAATCAAATGAGCGGATTGCTAAAAATATATCTGGCGCGTATTTTATGTTTTTTGAAGTGGAACTTATGTACAACAGCAACAAACCAGCAGCAACGGCCGCTGGCAGCCGCCGAACAATAGATGAAACGTGGACGATTGTGCCAAAGTACAAGTATGTCCCTGCCTTTTCAGGCACATGCATAAGTTCAGTGAAAAAAATTGTAACTTTTAAATTCAAATTAAACTTGAGATCATCAATAAGACTAATATTTATTTTAACTCGCACTATCTTAAAAACAAGAAATTCAAAAAAATGCAATAAAACCAAATTGGTTGTGCAAAAATTGTCAACATATTTAACTTTAGAAGTATATTTTCAAATCAACTGAAGAGTGGAGCAGTAATTGAGATAAAAAAATGTTTAGATTACTAATTAAAAACATATATTAAAAATTCTTCAAAGTAAATAGGTTAAATAAGTTTTTGTGGTACATTAAACAAATCTGTATATTTATTAAAGGAGTTTTTTATTTATTGAAAGTAACTTCATAATCAACTACCCAAATTGTTTATCAAAAACAAAAATTTTTCAAAAATTTCTAAGGTAAATGTAAAGCCCCAAAAAGATGAATAGCTGTTTTCAGTATATTGAAAGGGGCTTTTCTTATTTATTGACAACATATTACTTTGTTTAGTATTTTTTCACTCAGTGCATTTATTTTGCCTATGTGATGGTATCTTCTAATGATGAGCACATGTAATGCTTCGTATTGCAAAACTTGGGGTTTTATTTCGACATTTCTCACCGTGAATAATGCATGCGATTCCTTGGTCGCCTTTTAGGTTAGTCTGCTTGGGCTGGGTTTTGGTTGTGCTTTTGGTTTTTGTTTCTGTTTCTGTTTGAGTTTTTTTTGCTGTTTCTGTTTCTGCCAAAAGTGCAACGTTGTCGCCGTCTTTTTGACCGTCTTGGCCGTCTTTCAATAGGCGTGTCCGTTGTGGCCAAGATTTCGCTTGGCTGGCCGGCGTCACAGTTTTCGCGTCTGCGTCTGCACTTTCCCATGGATGCCAATGGGTGTGCGCATCTTTATTTAATTAACATATTTTATTTGCGCACACACACACTCACACACCGATGATTTATGCCTGGCGTTTTGGTGCACTTTATGCTGCCTTTCAGTCAGCGATTGTCATCTTTAAGTAGCTCTCTATCCCCGCACTTTCCCCATCCGCCAAATTAATCGCCTGCATTAGTCAGTTTTTGGGGCCTTTGGCCATTGTTGGCACTGGCCGTGTGACTAATTTGATTACACTCACCAAGAATTTGAATATTTCGCGATTCTGACTTTATTTTGAGGCATTTTTTTGTATTGTCCGCCCTGAGAGCTGTCGGCTTTCTGCATTAAATTAATGTTCACTTACTGTGCCGGCAGCCATCTAATGTTATTTATACAGCAAAGCTGTGTGCATCGCGCAGATACTATCGCCAGTATCCGTGAACATTCCTCGAATGATATGTCATCCAAATGTGATTAATTTAATGCCTTCAACTTACAAGCAGCCGCGAGTTCTGCAATATTTTTGCATTATTTCTAATATTAGTAGTGTCAACAAGTACTTGTCTTTGCTAAAGATCAGAAATGGGAAATTAAAGAGAAGCATCTCAAGGGCTTTTAGTTTATTAAATTTGTGTTGTACTTTTGATTT